ATTATCTTGGGGTTACAACCACCACACATCATAAAGCAACCCTTTTAATCCACCCTTCTTTAATAATCTTCTGAAACACAGGGGTGTAAATGAGATGGATCTTATTGGGACTCTGCTATAAATTTATTGTAAGCAGTTCTCCAAACCTACAGTGCAAAATCGTTTTGGAGAAAGGGAAATCTGTACAAGATATCACCATACAGAAACCACATTTCTTCCCTGACACTTGATCAACTTCAAAGGGGATTCTAAGGTCTTATTTTATGTTTTGTTTCTTTCTCCCATGTATGATTGGATTGTCTAATCTTATGCCCTTTCTTTAAATGTCAAGGTTGATACATCAGGGGCAGCCTGATTTGGGTACCAGGCAGTAAACTTTAACATGATGTATATTTTTTATTCACTTTCAGTTTCATTCTTTGATCCTAGTCACTCTACCTTTTTATTCTGGGTCCATTCCTTTCCCTTTCGGGGATTCTTTTCCCCATAATGCTCCTGGGTGGTCTGCTCAATTAAGACTAAATGCACATGACAGTGATGGAGAAGTCAGAATCCCAGAGATGCCACCACCCACTGTGGAACATCAGACAAGTCTCTTAACCTCCCCCAGAGACTGGGGGTGGGGAGGCTGATCAAGAAAATAATTGAATTAAACAGGTGAAAGCACCTGGCAGAGTGCTCTGTCTGTTGTAGGTGCCTCGTTCATGTTTAGTTTATCTTCTTCCATTGTATGGTCTTCTCCATATTTGGAGAACCCTTTCCAACCAGAGGGGACTTTCTTCAAATCACAGCTTTCTATGGTGCTGCCTTAATATCACACCAAGGGAAGTCTAGTGACGCTGATGCTCCCTTAGCAACGCATTGCAACAGATGCAGTCGGGCTGCACCTACCTCAGTTGGGCTGCCCCTCAGCCTCCACAGCAGAGCTACAACTGGAGTACTCTCCTTCCTGGAAGAATCACAGCCCTGAACTCCCTTTGGAATTCTTGGGTTTGCATAGCAAACCTCACTGCCCTGAGCAAATGAGAGTTTTGTCCAAATGAGAAGAATTTGCAATAAAACATAAGCAACTCAGCACTCTGGCTTGCCTTTGAAAATGCAGGTGTGTAACCTATTTCAGGCCTAGGTTATATGGTCAGTGACCAAGAGCCTGGATTAAATTTGTCCCAGTGATTCTCAAACTATGGAGCATGGGCAATCACCTGGAAATCTTGTTAAAACACCCCCAGAGGATCTGATTCAGGGGCCTGGGGTTGAACCTGGGAACATGCATTTCAAACCAGCTCCCAAGTGATGCTAATGCTGCGGCTTCTGGAAACACACTTCAAGAACCCCTGATTTAGCCTCTGATTGTACCCAAGGGGGGGGCAGGAGTTAGCATCTTAATCATTTGCATCTCCAAATTTCCATTGTCAAGGAGGAGTCAAATCTGATTTTCATTTCAGGGGACGGGTACTGAGCTGGAGAGATCAGATGGCTTGCTTGTACCTGTGGCGGACATCCCCAGGGGCCTGGTTCAGCCCCACCGTGGTTGTCCCTGGCTGCTCCCTGCCTTAAGACTGTTGAACTCTTGCCAAACCCTGTGATGTTAGCTTTCACCTCTCACAGACCTCCACCTCTGAAACTCAAAACTTGATAGTACCTTGACAGGAGAGAGCTTCTGCATACCGAGAGGTTGGACATAGAGGTCTTCTGATAAATAGAATTTAGTGGAAATTCCATTTGGCCCAAAGATTGATTTAAAACAAAAAAAAAATTACTTGACCCAGTTAGAGTGTGTGTGTGTGTGTGTGTGTGTGTGTGTAACACAGATTTGTTTTCTGGGACATCTTTTATGTTTATTCATTTATTCCTACTTTTTCCTAGCCACGACCGTGACTGTCCATTCGTACTTCCCTTCGGTATCCCGCAGACCACTGGCACAAGCGGAGTGGCAGAGCCAGGCAATGCGCGCGCTGGCTGAGGCCCTCGGAGACCCCAGGGCTGGGGCCTGGCCTGGCCACGCGCCCTACCAGCGCGGGGACCCTGGAGCCGGCTTCTTTGTTAGGGCCGCGTGCACAGGGAGACCAGGAGCGCACGGGCCCCACTGCCGCCTGCTTAGCCCCAGGCCCCGAAGGACTTGTAAGCAGACAGGCTCGAGTCGAGAGGGTAAATTACGCCCCCGGGGACTTTTTAACGAAAATCCTAAATTTCATTTAGGCTGCTGGTAGACCGCGCGGTGGCAGAGCCCAGGCGGTGGCTGCAACAGTCCCCGGGCCCGCGCCTCCGCCCCTCCCCGCGCGCGCCTGGTGCAGCCCGGACCACCGGGAAGCCAATCCCTCTCGGACTGCGCGCCCCGAGCCCATCGGCGGTCCCCTCCCGCCCCCAGCCTGTCCCCTCTCCCTTCCGTTTCCTTCCACGTCCTCTTCCCGCGCCCTCCCCCACCTGCAGCCCTCCCCGCGGGCTGGGAGGAAAGTCGGTAATAAGAAACCAGTTCGGTGTCACTCGGAGAGGGGGGAGATAACCCCAGAGATACACGGCAACCGAGAGAGAACTCATTTTGTGTAAAGAGGGCCTCGAGTCACCAGGGAATTCCTGGATTGTCTCAGGCTGTCGTGTGTGATGTCCATCACGCCGTGCGAACACCATCTGCTCGGTATTATGCTCTCAGTTGCCAGGCTACCTGCTGTACGCAGTAACACTTGACTGCCTGGCTCCACGTCCGCAGCGGCGGCCCAGACGCGCGGGGCGGGGGAGAGCCGAGTCCTGATTAAGCCATCTGCAAGGGGAGGGGACGCGGGCGGAGCGGGCGGAGCGGGCGGCCGCGTGCGGAGCGCCGGGCTGACACCACCATCTGCTGGGGCGCGCGGAGAACAGCAGCTGCTCCCAGGGCCCCGACGAGGAACGCCTGAAAAAGGCCCGATTCAGCTCTGGGCATTTTCAAGCCCGTTATTCACGACGTCGTTGTCACCCGGGCCTCATCCCTGCCGGCAGCCTTTTGTGACAGTCCCTCCCAGGAGCCCGCAGTCTTTGGTTCGCTGCCAGTAACCCCGGCCCCTCTCACCCAAACACCGTGCATGTTCTTGAAAACACTTCAGAGAAAATCAAGCTTCCCTGCGCGCAGATTTATAAATAAACAGCTGGCTGTTCTTGGGAGATATTTTTACCACAGCTGTTTTTTTTTTTTTTTTTTTTTGAAGTCGAAAACTGACTGGGGGAGGTAAGGGTGTTTTTTACACCTCCCACCTCACTGGAGCCTTTAGAAGATGGCTAAGTTCTTGTCCCTGGAGGGGGGAAGATGTGTAAAACAGGTTCATTGGGTTTGATTTCTTGTTCCTTCCTTTATTTTACTGGAGAGTGAGAAGGTTTGGAGAGTAATGAAGATCTATGTAGCCAATTGGATTTGAGGGGAAGAGAATGTATTAAGATTCTGTGGAGAAAGCAAGGGAGGTCGTTGGGCAGGGAGTGGAGAACAAGCCAGTAATTAAAACTAAAAATACTGCATCATTTGGCTTCCAGGCATTACATGTCGCATGACGAAAGCTCAGCCTGGTTTCCTCTAATGGCACCACACAGTGTGTGTCCTCCTTAGAAACAAGAGCAGAGACTTGAAATCATGAAATTTGACAGACTATTTCTCATTAAGCCTTCTTAGACTGGAGGTTAAAAGAAGTCTGTAATGTGAAGGAGCTCCGCCAGCTTAATTTGTAATGCAGGTCACTTGATGCGCCTTCACACTTTGCCATACACACCTGAGGCTGGGGCGGTAGGTGACTCTCGCCTGCTGTTGAATGTAGCAGAGCTTGCTGGGAAGGTACTGAGATGTTTCATTGGTGATCCTTCACCAGTGCACACAGCCCTCCTGCCTGTGTTCTTCAGTGAGGAACCCCAAGGCATAACTTTGGGGAGAGGATCGTTTGGGGAAATAATGGAATCCCTGGAAGTAATCACTATTCTATCCCTTTGGGAGCATTTTTCCCCCACGGGGGGGAAAAAAGTGGCTCAATAGATGAACATCATCACCCCATTTGCCTCTCCCTTTCTTTTCCCTTTGGAGAGAAATCTGGGAAAGCAAAGGTTCCCGCTCCTCCCCTGGGGCATACTCTCCAGCTGTGTGGAGCTGGTCACACAGGACAAGAATACCTCAAAGTGCACAAAGAAAACAGGACCAGTCAGGGCAGCCCTCTCAAAAACTCAAGGTACAAAAACCTGTTATCTTTCCTTGGGTCTCATTTCTCTTCAACTTCCTTCTTTTCAAAACTGGAAAACATGAAATATACTGAAACATGCAGAAAAAATACTTTATATCAATATTCTTGCTGATGGACTATGCATCAGTGTAAACTGGCTTGTAAACGTGTTAAGTCAGCCATTTGGATGGGTGGCAAGAAACAGCTCTATCCTGTCAGAAGGAAGGGCTTGGAAAGCAGGTAGCAAGTGTTAGGGAGAAAGAAGACCCTGAAATATCTAGACCTCTGCAAGGGTCAGGCATAAAATAAACTTTTTGGAGACATCATGATTTTGGGCTTTTTTTTTTTTTTAGACTTTTTTTTTTTAGCAACATTAAAAATATTGCATGGCTCTCTACCTAATTACAGAAAAAAATGCACACCCTAAAAAAGTTTTATGAACTTCAGGGCCAGCATTTATGTGTGACACTGCACATTCTTGAGAGACACGCTAGATATTTGGTCTACAGGCCACTCTTAAGTGTGCATCTGACCCCGTGCATAGCCTAGACAGGGCCAGGGCAAGTGGAAAGAATCTTGCATTTAGAACCAAGCTCAGCATTCTAGGTCTGCTAGTTAGGGGTCATTCACTTACTAGTTGTTTTGCCCTGATTGCTACACTAACTAGCAGAATTTCTTGAGCCACTGTTGCTGGGGTAAGAGGAGGAGTGTGTTGTGTTGTGGTCTTTGTTTTTGTTTAATCTGTTGGTTTGGGTGGATGGAAAGAGGGAAGAAGTGCAACCAAAGGTGTGGTGTAGATGCAAATCCGCCGGTGGAAGGAAAAGTCTGAGAGGCTCGTTAGCTCAGCTGGTTAGAGCTTGGTGCTGATAACGCCAAGGTCGGGGGTTCGTTCCCCCCGTACAGGCCACCAAATGCCGCAGTCTGGCTGGGCACAAATCACGAGCCACTCAAGCAGGAACAAACTTTATTTCCAAAACTCCTGCGAATATATCACGAATGCGGCCTTCTCCCGGGACACACTACTCCAACAGGAACTCCCTCCTCCGGATTCCCTCCTACCGCACTTCCCCAACCAATGGGAACTCTCCAGGAGAGCTCTAAAGTAGCAGGCCAAGGCAGACAGCAGGGGTCTAATCTCCAATTGAATGCACATCTTAACATAATCATTATCATCTCAATGGCTTGCTGGCATCACCTTTCAACCAAAAATGCCATGGTCATTCCTACTTGGCTATGGCTCTCAGCATCAACCTATACAGTGGGAGGAAACTGGAGTACAGCAAGCTGGGGTCGTGGGGAATTAAATCCAGGACTCTCCGTCTAGGACAGAGATGAACTCTGTGTTTTGAGAGGAAACTGCCAGCATGATCAACAATATCTACCTTAAAAGATAGCAACACGAAAGAGGAAAATGCTAAAATCAATTCACATTATAATAATTTTTAAAACAACCACAGAGTCGTTCACATTCCTTTAGGTCTCATGATAGTCACTCAGGGTATGGCCATTTTTGTCCTTATAGCTGTACCCACTTAATTTGTATATACCTCAGAAATCAGCTCCTCTAGGTTCAGGTTAGTTGATTAAAACTTTAATGATCTAGAAGTATTTCTGCAGAACAATACTTGCCATTACCAGATGTGCTTGGTAGAAGTGTCTAGAATCCAAATCTCATCCCACACCTGATGTCCCATCAACTATTTTTCCTACATAGTGCCCTCTCTGCCAGCTGTTTAGACCTCTCTGAGCACATCCTCCAGTCCTTGGGCTGCAGGGGATTAGCTCTCTATCACTTTCTATCCCCTCAGGACCCCAGTCCTTAAAAATTGCCATTATTTGACTCCCTGACATACAATTATAGAATCAAGAGTCCCAATCCAGCCCCCCACATTCAAATCATCCTAGACACATGAGACACGATTCCATTTTTAAAGATGTTCAGCGATTACACAGCTTTGGTCAAAATAAAACATTGCCAATTCTCACCATCCACAACTCTGACCAGCAAGATTTTTAAATCCCTTCAATGTTGTAATCAATTAGAATAACATCAAATATCAGATCTGTTGATTTTTTAAAAAAATCCAGCATTTTTCTGGGTTTGTCCCTCCTACTTGCTAAGATGTCCATTTTGGCCAAATGGACGGTAAGGAGGAAGAATCATGGGCGAGGTCAGGATGCCACCTCCATGATGATGGTGAGCCCAGCCTGAGGGCTTATTCCTTTTCCTAGGAGCGCACGGAAATGAGTTGAAAATCCAGTTCATATCCTTTAGTTTCACCTGAAACACACTGGACTTGGCTCAGACTTCCCAAATTGTGACAAAGCCACGCTCTGTCACAGTCCCCTGTAGCCTCTGTTTCTACTGAGGGAAGGCCGGGTTTGAGGACTGCTGGATTGTTTTTATAGAAATATAATGGGTGCCCCTGAGAACCCCTAGGGTCTGCTCCCTTCCCCCTCCCAGGGCTTTCCCCTGAGAGGGCAGCGAGTGTCCAAGAGGAATCACTGCATCCATCTCTCTTCTTGTCCCCGCAGGAGCCGCACCCAGTTGGGCTTCCCCGGACCACAGGCCCTTTGCAGTCCTCTGTGCCCCCAGGCTCGAGCAGCATGGTCTCTGGGGCCAGTCCTGCTGGTCCCGGCTTCCTGGGCAGCCAGCCTCAGGCAGCCATCATGAAGCAGATGCTGATTGATCAGCGGGCTCAGCTGATGGAGCAGCAGAAGCAACAGTTCCTGCGGGAGCAGAGGCAGCAGCAGCAGCAGCAGCAGCAGCAGCAGCAGATTCTGGCTGAGCAGGTACTGTGCCTCCGTGGTGTGGTCCATCCATTCAGCAAGCACTTATGTGGCACCTGCTGTCTGTGAGGGACTCACCACAATCCCTGTCCCCGGCACACAGACCAGCAATTCCCAGGACCATAGAAGAACCTACAGAATTTAGAGCTTTTCAATTAGTTAGGCTTTTTCCTCTAATGAATTAGTTTATTCTTAAAAGGCAAGCTTCAGCCATCAATTTGAAGGCCCATTTGTCAGAGACAGTTCTTCAATCCGAGGCTGGCTCCTTGTCTTCTGGATCCTGGCACAGGGATCTGCGTCATCAGCCTGCAGTGGGGGCTGGCTCTCATTCTTCTGAGGCCCTCATATTTCTAGCATGAAGCAAAAAAATAATAATTCCAGGAACTTTGTTTCTTGGGAGGAAAGTGGCAGGAGGAGGGACTGCGGAGAATTCTGCAGAATTGGTCACAAACAATGGACCGGGAACAATAGCAGAACAATAGGGCCTGCAGAACCACCTGGAAACCTGAACTGGGGGTCACAGAGAGGGTGAAAACTTAAGAAAGTTCCTGACAGCTTTTAAAACAGCTCGGGAAATCTGTGAGTTAAAGAAAGGCCTGACACAAATACACCACTACCTTAGGCATCTTTGTCCACCCGTGCCATATAATTCCTCCAGCTTTGAAAGAAAGCCTTCCCTGCAGACCGCTCCTGTAGGTTTTGATTTGTTTTGTTTTTACAGATGCCTGAGCCTGATTTAGTATTATCCCAGGGAGGGCCTGAGGCCGCCTGCAAGAGATCCCCAGATGGCCCCTGTGGGGGCCTGCCCAGGGGATCTCACACAGCAGCTTCTTTATTGTGAGAGGTGGGAGGTTGTCATATAAGGCTCAAGGCCCAACATGGCTCTGACGCATAGTAATCCTTCTAGAACGTTCCTAATGAGATCAGAATTCTAGAAATTTACAAAGCATCCACCACCGCCTATTTACAAGATACCAGGTAGGACACAGGTATCTCGATGTCCCTACTAACCAAGAACAGCAGTTCGAAGTAACACCAGTTATCCCCCAAAGAGAAAAATTGTCCTGTTGGGCACAGTTCGCTCATGTTCCCTGTTTTTGCTTTGCTTCCTGAACAGCTGTGTAATTATCTCCCTTTTTACCAAGGTCAGTCAGCCGCCTGGCAGCTATTGTACAAACAAACCTCTATCCCTCTCACCCTGCATAAGGTGTGTGACAAGCAGCCATGCTAATATCTCTCAGGCAGTGATAAATGGAACTGCAGAGGGAAGCCGGGTTTTATAAATCCTCTCCTCGGCCAATCCCAGGAAATTTCAGGTGTGCCTGAGATGTTGAGTGATGGCTTTTGATACGTGTGCTGCCACCAAAGCACAGGGAGAAATCAGGGTGACCAGGCAGAAATCGCAGTGCCAGTCCCAGGATATTCCTGCTCAGGAGCCAGATCAGCCAAGCCCTGGGGGAATAAAGAAGGAGGTGGGAGCGTGTAGAAGGAGATGTATCAAATGATGCCCAGAGATCAAGAGGTGAGAAAATGAGCGAGACCCCTCGGAATCCAGGACATGGAGAGAGAGAGGACTCCTTGGAAAAGATGGCAGGGGGACTGTGACCTGAATGCAATTCTTTAGCAACCGTGTGTATTTATAATAGGGGTCCAAGTCGAGATTATTTTACTCAGGGTGAGAACCTGCCCATCCTCTTGCTTGCAGTGGTGATTTTGAAACAAACCACTTGGCCTCTGACTTCGTCTACCAGATTAAGTTTGAATAATTTCCTTCATATAGCTGGTTTCACAATCGCATGAGATAATGTGTACAAATGCCTTTGGAGGCTGTATGCTCTGTACTAACTTATATGGGGACCCAACGTGAAGAGCTGCAACCCATGTGCCAGCCACATCAGAATGGCATCTTGCCCTGAGCCTGCAGATAGCACTTATTAGTGCAGGCTCTACTGGGGGGTCTCCAAGTGGTGAGCTGTCAACTTTTTGCTAGAGAATGAATACTGCCTATCACATCAACACCTTGCTGATTTTCTGTCTCTGCAGCATTGAAAGTGTCCCGGCAATTTTTAATTTTGGAAACAGTGTATTGGAAACACTTGGGTTTCCTGAAAAGCCATATGAGGGAAAACAGAAGGATTTGGGATCACAGATCTGTGGGAACTTTAAACTGATTCTCGTTGAAAGCAGGCGTGGGTTAACATTAAATGCCTCACTCTCCAGGAGCAAGGCCCTGTCACTTCTCATCTGTTCACAAAGGGTCAACAGAACTGGGAATTTTAGAAAGAAATTGAGATAGCGAAGCCCAATCATTTTACAAATGAGGAAATTAAGGTGTCATGGTTTGGATATGAAATATACCCCAAAAGCTCCAGTTAGTAAAGGAATATGTAGGTGAGGAGACTGGATTATGAGAGCTGTAACCTAATCAGTTTATCCTAGTTTGATTGACTCACTGATTGGTAACTGCAAGCAGGAGGTGGGTCACTGGGGAATGCCCTGGAAGGGTCCTTCTTCCTTATGGCGCCTTCCTCTCCCTTCCTCTCTCTACTTCCTGGGAACCATGAGTAGAGCCGGGGTCCTCTACCATACCCTTCTGCCACGATGGCCTGCCTTACTTGGGTCCAGAGCAATGGAGTCCGTCAACCGTGCACTGAACCTCTAAAACCATGAGCCAAAAATAAACTTTTCTTCCCTAAGTTGTTCTTGTCAGGTATGTCAGCCACAGTGACGAAAGCTCACACTTAAGGCCAGGGAGCTTACGTGATTTATTTGAGATCACAGAACTAGGGAGAGGCAGAGCCAAGAGGGAAATGGGACTCCTGACCCCTGACTCCAGGCCATAGCCCAAGTTTGTTGCTCTCTGTGAGTGGTACAGTTTAATCCTTTTTTTTTTTTTTTTTTTTTAATGCTGGGAATCAAACCCCAGGCCTTGAGCATGCTAGGCAAGTGCTCTGCCACTTGAACTATACCCCAGACCTAAATTCCTGCATATTAGGGGAAGTTCAGCTGAGGAGAAACTTTTAAATGCTCAGCTAACTCTCAGTAATGCCTCTATATTGCTGCCTGAAAGATTAGCATGGTTTCTGGTCTATTCTTTAATGGTCTGCACGTCGATAA